CGTAACATCCCACAGATGTCCCCTAACCTGAGCCAGATGAATCCAGGCCAATTGTTTAAAATCCATTTTAATATTCTCATATTTACCCATGTCTTGCAAGTCGTCTGTTCCCTTCAGGTTTTATGACTAAAATTTTGAGCATTTCTCATCTCTTTCATGTGTGCTACATGCCTTGTCCATCTGATCTGTGATTTCATTACCTTAATAATATCTGGTGAAGGCTGCTAATTATGAAGGTCCTCATTATACAGAAATATTATATTTTAGCATCGTATTGCGTGTGTGAAATCTCGTATCATCGCAGCATCGCAGTAGGTAATATGTGTCCATACTGCCTATTTTGGCGACTGAATAAAATAAAGAAAATCCTCATTGTGCACTTTCCTCTGCCCTCCTGACACTTCCACTCTCATTGGTCCAAATATTCTCCTCAACACCATATTCTCCAATGCCATCAGTCTGTTTTTTCCTCATATTACAAGAAACAAGTTCCACACACATACAGTTATGGTAATAGCATTATATGGATTTGTGTGTAAGGGAAACAAGTTTAAAAGCAAGAAATTGCAGGTCACATGAAGAGAGTGAACTGTGGTGAAGGAAACAAGTGTGCATGTCTTTGTAACAAAAGCCATCCTTATGATGGTGGCCATATGTTGGATATGTAGCTCAGATGAAAGCGTTACCCTTCACTGCACGGTGTTGCTGAAGCCCTGCGAAGTGTGGGTAGTGCAGGCCAGCATGATGCTGCCGTTAAACAGTATTCCTCTTCCACACTTAGTACCTGTTTAATTCTTGTTCATCTTGTGGTGATATTCTTAAGTTTTGTGTTGTATTGTGAAGCCACATCAGGCAGTGAGTTTTATGATCTGTTGCAAAGCCGCATGCGCCAAGTTTTATGATCTGTTGCAAAACTGCTTCATGCGCCAAGTTTTATGATGTGTTGCCAAGCCACATCACGCAGCGAGTTTTACGTTGTGTTGCTAAGCCACATCAGGCAGCGAGTTTTATGATGGGTTGCGAAGCTGCATCATGCACCAAGTTTTATGTTGTGTTGCCAAGCCACATCACGCAGTGAGTTTTACATTGTGTTGCGAAGCCACATCATGCCACAAGTTTTGTTACAGAAGTTTGAATTGTTGGAGTGTTCTGGAAGTCATCAAAATTCTGATCTGTGCTATGAAGGTAAAATCATTTTGTGCTGAAGTATATATTCATCAAATCATATGGTTTATCTTTGAAAAGAAAAAAAATTATCTTTGTTGCTTATGAGGCCCTGTTTCAGTTTCGTGGTCTTCTGTTTCTGGCAGCTACGGATGATGAAAATGAGATTACAACAAGGACCTCCTGATTGGATATATCATCTGAAAGTGAAGACAACATTTTCCTGATGAAAGTGCTCTTGTAGACCGTGTATTGATGCCAGGGAGTGTGATCCTGACGTTGGTTCAGTTAAGTTTGCTGCTTACGTGTGCATAACACTGCTACCTTGTCACTATGTAGAGCTGTGCAGAAGCTAAGTTGCATGACTTGACAGGATGTGCAGACTAATTAATTACATACTTCTGCAGTTTTGCAACATTACGGTTGCATAACGGCATCATTTCGTGTTGTTCTGTTGCTGCATATTATTAATGTGTGACTTTGGCTTTTGGGAATATGTTCTGTATAATGTTGAAGGCTATCCAGCATTCTAGCAGACATTATGGTTACCATCTTCAGGGTCATTGCCTTTGGGGATGTTGGAGATGAAGGCCCGTTGGCGCTGCCCAGTAGGGGATGACCACATGGTTGACAAGAAGTTGTTGCACTTTTTTGAGACCCGGTAGTCATAGGTGGCGAAAAATTTTTTGCAACTCTGTTCAGGACAGGAGATGATGGAAGCAGTTTCAGTGGCCAAATAGTACTGTAATTGTAATGTTTGCTGAAGTACTGGGAAACCTTCAGCGCTCTGTGTGGTGTATTGTCAGTAGCAAAGTCGTACATTGAACTCGAGATCAGAAGAATCTAAGGACAGTAATTGTACACAATTCATATATTTATATAAAAAGCATTCTTTACAATGACATGGTGGATCATAGTGTCATTTTCCAGAATCATCTATCAGCACAAGCGTAACGTCATCATGAGCAACTGTACGGCATGAACGCTGACATCACATGCTTCTGATGTTCCAAACAAGAGGAAAGGAAGTGAGGGACACCTGCCTGAAGAAAATCCTGCAGTCAGTACAAGGGTTTCACAGCACTACTCACTTTCACAGACTTGGAAATATTCTTTCTCTTCTTTTGATGAACATAAACGTCGCAATGCCTGAATATTTATCTAATTTTCAGAGAACTCAGAGCTGGTTGGGTGCATGGCTTACTCATCTTCAACCCTGAAGATGGAGGCTGTCTGTTTCTCTGAAATGTCCAGAAGATAGTACACTTCGTAATGAGAACCTCACATCCAACACCATGGAAACACCTGCTGTGGCATGGTGTAGCTGACATGAAATAGGCACTTCACAAATGAAGACAGGAGACAACTTGTTTCGTTACCTGAGGAAGGTAGCAAAAGCTGACTGGGGATAGCACAACACGGACACATTCCAAAGTTAAGTTCGCTGAAGAGGAAACGTTTAGAAAAGCATAGAGCAGCGATTAAGAGAGAAATCTGTCACTACAGTGGATAGTGTGGATGTTTCCAGCCCTGTATTCACCCTGTCTGCTAAGATGTCCAGGCAGTAGGTGCAATGGAATGGAATGACAAGAAGAACAAGAAAGAAATGGCTTCGAACTCTACAGAGAATATAAAAATATATTATAAATACACAGATACATGTGTTGTTGTACTGGACAGTATTATGAGCTGGAACAGAATGTACTTCAGGTTGTTTTAAACTTGTAGCAGACTGCCTGTGTGTGTCTGCTGTCTTCTCAGAGGCGCAGTGAGCAGTGACTGAGGAAATGAGCCCAAAATGAAGGACCTCCTGTTCCAGCCAAGAATATGGTGTGTCTGGTTGGACAAGCTCCCTGGATGTGAAGGCTGTGGTCTGGTGCAGTGTTCAGAACGTATGCACTAATAAAAACCCAAATGAACTGGTTGCACAGAAACACTGAATTATCAAATTAATATTATCTTTACTGAAATTTAATCTTTGTACTGAATGCTTATAATGTGTGAAATGTGTTGTAATTATGTGTATAATGTACCCAGTGTAAATATTTTTCCATATTAATTATCAACAAAGATTCTTGACTGCTTTCTGTTGATTTTACTTTGCATAATTAATGTAACACATGCTTCGTAACACACACACACACACACATTTAAAAAGCCTTGCAATGAAAGGTAATTCAGACGTATCTGGAAAGTGGCCTGCAGCTTGTGATTGTTTTGTTGAGGCTCTAGAAATGTGCATTTGTTTAGGGAAGAAGTGCAAACTTTTGTTTCGGCACCAATTCTCAAAAATATGAACTACCTCAAATCCTCCTCTGGTGGAACCAGAGGCTCCACATGTTAATACCAAGTCCCATCATTTTCTATGGCCATGACCCATTGACACTGAACTTCCATCCTCAGGATCTTCCTTTCTTAGGAACTGCATCGGTTTGTATTGATTTAAGCCTTCCTGTTGGCTCATTGCTGATGTTGATGCAGTGCCTGGGACACCAGATGCAAACAGAATTTGGTGCACTTACTGGTCCCAANTGTTCGAACAAAACTCTATATATACATAAATACTCTCACATGCTACTTACTTCAACTCTGAAGATGGAGGCACAGTGTACCTCTGAAACGCCGGCAGTACATGATGTGCAAAGACCAAAGAGCAGGATCAACGTATCTTCATGACTGACTTACTCTCTGAGTGGCTAAGCAAGTGAATGATTTAGTGACTGACCAGTTGCATAACCAAGTCAGCAGGTGCTTAGTATAGAAGGCAAGAAAAGGGTGCGGAGGAGACTTGTTCATTACTGAATGCATTTGAAATTCCTTCCAGTGTTTAAATAGTACTGCGCTATAAATACGTATGGGGAATGGAGGTATAGCTCCAGATTTTCTTTACCTTGACACCAGATGAAGGCTAGTGGTGAAGTAGATGCCCTGGTTGCTCTATACTCAGTGAAGTATGCCCAGGTACCCTGTAGCCTTGTCACCATACCAGCTGAGCTCTCCGGGTTCATGAAGGCATTAACGCTGTTACTGAGTATTGGGAAATTAATGTGTTTTATTTTACTTTGCCGTTGAAAGTATTTATTATGTTCATAATTCCTTTAAACAACTTGAATTTCTCCAATCATATGTTGAATGTTGGAGTGAGGGGCTAATGTTGTAAGGAAGCAGAGGTACCCTGTCTTTGTCTGGGTTAAGGTTGCTCTCAACACTCATTGTTAGAGTGCGCAGTGAATCTCATGTAACCTTATGCCATCTATCAACTAGTTCCTGTACCAAAGATCATAATGATGACTGACTCTAATACACACGAAATTAAGGATCACTTGTGTGATTAAAAATAGATTTTTTGAATGAGGAGTTCGATTACGTGCAAAGACTCAAGCAAAGTTGCGTTAATGTCCGTGGCTACCCTGCATATTTTGGAGTGTGGTGTGTCATGATATTGTGGCATGTTCGCGGCCCATAAACAACAGAGGAATGGTGTTTTTTGCGCAGTCCATGCCGATGGCCGTGCACGTCAGTGCAATTGCTAAGCAGCAATTGCACTGACGAGAGGAACAGTGTTTTGTACGTGGTCCGTGCCGAGCTATAAAGCAGGAAAAGTTAGGAGTTGCAGTTAGAGGACCACTGCGATTCAGTCGCTGTGATCTGTTGTTGCAAGAAGCTGGTAGCTGAGGCCGAGGGCAGTTTGGTAATCCAGAGGAAGGGGAACGTCCACCATTGAAGCCGCTACCAAGCAACGGCTAGTGAAGACCGTAATAGACTGAGAAGACCTAATGTGTCCCTAGTGATTTATGAAGTGTGTAGAAGAATGAGAGCACAATCCTTACTTGTAGTAACGTTCTGTAAGTGTCAGGTAAATCCGATTAGCAACACATACCCCGTCTAATCAAATTTATTGGACCCTTTGATACAACATGTGACTGTTACTGTTACACAGACACTAGTGTCCACAGTCACGTCTTCACTGCCGTTGCTTGGTAGCGGTTTTCAACGACGGACGTGCCCCTTCCTCAGTGTTCCCGAACTGTCTCCGGCCTCAGCTATCAGCTACTCGTAGCAACAGCTCTCTACGACTGAACCCCAGCGGTTCTCAAACTCACTAACTCGCCAACCAACAAACATCTCGCTCTGCAGCTCCTAACTTGTGCTGTTTATAACATCTCGGCACGGACCGCACAGAAAACACTGTTCCTCTGTTGCAGCGCGATTATTGCGTTCGTGCCTGTTTGGATGCCAAGAGAACTCTACTCATCCATTGCCCAGCAACGGCCGTTGTTTTCAGGGCCATTACTTAGGAACAACTGTTGTATAGTTGCTAATTTCGCGGTCATTGCCTAGCAGCGGCTCTACATGCCACAATATATGTATATGTGTGTGTGTGTGAGTGATAAATTAAAACAGTAGTGAAGTAAAAACTACGAATTTATGAAAATACGGCGAAAGGAGTCAATAACTTCAGTCTGACCCCATTAGGCAGGATTTTGTTGTCTGAGTTTCACGGCCAGTGGAGCCACCATTTAAACTTTCCCCCATTATCACTGAATTTGTGTCAGATCCAGTTTCCCAACTGGTGCCTTGCTTCCGTTCACTGCCCACAGTCGCCATTCCACTGACTCGTGATCAGAGAAAGGCCTCGCAAATCATAAAATTAATATCCAATTATTGCATTTGAGGTTCTTACAGCAGTGGTCATGAAGAGTTCAGTCACCTGGGTCGTAACACTGTGTGTCCGTTGAAAGACAACCGACGTTTCGGAGGAATATTTGGCCTCCATCGCCAGGGTTGACTAAGCCAAGGAAGAAACCATGAAGCAGGTAGCAAGCCCTGTTTTTTTTTTGCTTGGGGTATTCTTCGACTCTGAAGATGGATGCGACATGTTGCTCCGAAACGTCGGTTGCCTTTTAACAGACTACACGGCGTTGTGTACCAGAAGGCAAAACTCTTCATGATCTTTGGTGGAATGTTACAGATAATTTCGGTAGATGTTGGTAGACTGGAGATTAATAATAGTCAGGCATGATCTTGTAGTTACTTGAAGCGATCACAGATGGCAGCTTAGGCCGGGAGCAGCTCACTGAGAGGTGCGGAACCCAAGATGTTGTTTCCTATCTGAGTAATTACTTCCTCAGCCGTCTCCTGTACGATAGGCAACACGATATTCAGGACCTCTTTCTTGTTTTGGTTGTAGAACTGCAGAGCAGACTCGGCTGAAACATAAAGTGGAGATGCGCTCTAACGGCTGACGCAGGAAACGATGCGTGGTTAAACTATAATGGTGCTGCATAGCAAAATATTTGGACCCGGGAGAAGGGGGGTAGTAGGAGGAGAGAGACAACTGCACGCCGGGAACTTGACAGTTTGTACCTCTTGCCAGATATTAGTGGGATGAAAAGGTCGTAGGTACGTAGCATGGGAGAGATCCCAAATATAAATAAAATTGTATTCGGAAAATATGGACGATTTGGATGATCGTAATTATTAGGATGTGTCATAAAGAAGGAGGTTGTGATGGTTTGGATGGGATTCGTCTGGCTCAGGATAGGGAGCGATGGCGGACTGTTGTGAAAATGGTAATGGACGTTCAGGTTCTGTGACGGGCGGGAAGTTTGTTGGCAAGCTGGGTGACTGTTAGCTTTTCTCAAGAAGATTCTGCTTGGTCCAGACGAATGAATACAGATTACAGACTTCTGATTACGGGCTGCCCTTCGTCCTAATTGAGATATGCTGACCGCGACACTTTGTGTTAACTGACAGGGACCAAGACACCCAAGTTGCTATGCTCGCCTTACGTGTTTCCGTCCTATAAGGACATGTGTGGCGGCTCCTATGATATTAACATCTCCAGCACGAACAGCAGCAGTAACAACGCAGTATTGTCGGCACGCGGTAAAGTACTTGGTTCAGGCACTGTGCCGGAAGGTAGCGGGTTTCATTCCCGATGAGGGCACTGGATTTTTCAGTTGACCTAATTCTTCCAGCCTCACTATGGTCCTGGGGTCGACTCAGCCTCTGACGGAAATGAGTACCAGGAATCTTCCAGGGAGTAAAGGGCGGCCGGCGCGTAAGGCTGATAACCTCACCGCCATCTGTGAGCCGATTATCTAGAAAATGTGGGAGCCTCAACGTCTGACAAGCCTATGGGCCTCCACGGCCTCTTACAGGGATAGCTCAACTTCTTACAACGCAGTATTACCCAATATTTCATACCAAGTCTACGGGAGAACAGTTTAAGAACTTTCCCGAGGCCAGAACAACCCTCATGTATACAACAACCTCGTGTTTCACTTAGATAAAATGTAACTGAATACTGCTTATGTGCAAGTTAATGTGCGCATAATGGATTTACCAGGGGGGGGGCTGTGTAGATGGACGTTTGGGACTCGAAGCTTCTAGTGAAGCCTGTCACAGTTGACGCTTGTTCTTTTCCTTGTCAGTTAAGCTCTCTTTTTGCCTGCAGCCGACACTTGTACTCACAGAGTCGCCCGTTCCTGTCGTCTTTAGCGTTGATCTTAACGCTGGAATCCCCAACTCGGATCTTTGTCTTGACGTTGTTCACCTCCAGATATTCTTCACCATTCCTCTTCACGACCTTGCCGTCACCCTTCACGTCGACCTTCACGTCCGCTGCAAAAGACCCGCATTAATGTGTTGCTGTGTATCATGACTTGATGGAATTCGAAAGTTCAGTTCTACAGAAATCCTGGACTTCCTACTATATCATAAGATACGTGTATAGTGGAAGGTTGGTGGGGGGGGNTGGGGGGGGGGGGGGGGCAATATGCTACAAGCCGGAAGGTCGCGGGTTCGATTCCCGGGGAGGTTATTGGATTTTGTATTGACCTAATCCTTCGAGTCTGGCCCTGGGGTCAACTCAGCTTCTAACAGAAATGAGTACCAGGAATCTCGAGAGGTAAAGGGCGGCCGGCCTGCGCGTAAGGCTGACAACGTCATTGCCATCTGCGGGCCGATTGTCTACAAAATGTGGGAGCCTCGACGGCCTGTTTTAGGGATAGCTCTGTTGCGCTAAGGGCACTCCTACATAACTTCCCCCACTCTGAGTGCCGGCGGACAGTACGCGTTGTTGGGCCAGTGTCAGAATACACAGCAGCCAAAGCTTTGAAGGAAGGGACGAACTGAAGAGTCTGGATTGAGGCTCCGATGCCAGGGACACGCCCAAGCCCGCTGCTGTACACACTGACGGGGCACATTCCGCAATGTGTGTGGTCTCTTAGGGATTCCAGCAGGAAACGGCGAACACACAGCAAACTGATATATGTAAGATTTGAGGATTTCACGGCAGTGACCATGAAGAATGTCATCTTCTGGGATGTGGCATTCTTTACGATTTTTATGTATTTCGGTATGTCGTAACATGCGACTGCACCAGCAAACAGCGCAGTTTGTGTTGTTCCGTCTGTTTGCTGTTGTGGTTACAGAAATAAACGTGATACTGGTAGATTTTCGTCACGCGCTTGCACACCGAGAGCCTTGCATTCTGATTACCGTATTAAGGAAATTCCTCAAGTCTGATGTGAGCCCGGGATTTGCTCTGTTCGGAACTTCCATGACCGAGGCTCCTGGTGGTTTTCTCAGTCACTCAGGTACACTTCAGTTATGCCCAGTGTCACTTCCTTCTAAATGATTCCGAACCTCTGGTTCGCCATCCGAGGTACACAGTCTGGTCACTGCCAGCGACCTAAAGTAGGATATTTCGCGGTCTGATAGGTGGTCACCGCGTTTTGAAGCAATAGGGCAGGAGCTATCTATACCATGAAGACGTGCCTAATATTTTCTCCGAAACGCTGATAACCGTACTACACTGTAGGGACTCATAAGACTTGTACCTGCAAGCCACGTGTTCTTGTGAAACAGTGCGCCGTTGTAATGTTGATTTGATAAGCATTTAGTAGTACCCAAGACATGAGATTAATACTCACTGAAATTTCCCATGAAGACGCCCTGCCCTTTGAAATTTCCCAGCAGGATGCGGCAGTCCACGTCGTACTCAGCGGTGGCTCTGATGTGGGGAAGTGTGATGCTCAGTTCGACCGCCAGCTTGTCCAGGTCGGTCCTGAAATAGTTACTCCTTCAGAGCACAGCAGGTCTACCAACTGCTTTAACATTAGAAGATCGTACATTTCGCCCAAACGTTGTATATGTACAGCCGTTACTATGCGACGGCCGATAGATAGGCCAATATACCAGAGTCTTTTCTAGGCAACGGCTCGGTAAACACGTTCCCAGAGCAGTGTATCGACGCACATCATTAGAGGTGCTGTTGGAAACGGGTGTTCCTACTTGGTCCGTGACGAGATGTTATAAACAAGGTACAGCGGTAGAGCTTAGTCAGTCCCGTGTGGAGGCGGGATCGAATACCTCCACCGTAGCCCTGTGAGTCTTAAGAGGCGACAAAAAGGGAACCCAGTGCCTGGGGGTATAACTGGGCCACCCTCTTCCTGGGGGATATAAATACGGGGACCTGGCCCTCCAGGTTGGGGGAGTCTCGAATGTGAGGCACTAAAACATGGTCATGAGTTCCACGGGATTCGGACCTGAGGATGACTGCGCCGGCGAAACCAGCAGCAATTTAAAGGACAGACCCATCCTCTCGCCAGAGAGGATGTTACATAAGGATTATAACCTCAAATGTTCAGTTTGAAAACAAAATTGTTGGTGGTGAGTCTCGAGGGGCTTATCGCCAAGACGTACTGATTGGCAGTAAACCGCCAGTCGTAAAGTGACTCTGACTTTGAACTTAGTCGGGTAGTCAATTCTGTACGGGAGTCTGTGAAGAGAGGACTTGGTCACGTGAAGCTGAAGAATCTCCATTGTTAGAAGCCGTTGTCAAGGTACAGCTGATGAAGGCACGGCAGGCTGGAAAAGGCTTAGCGGGTGCTGTGGTGATTTGTGAAGATTAGCGGTGGCGCTGTAATTACTTGCGGTGTGTATAAGTGTTCAATAAATCCAATTATCCAATCCAAACCCTGTCTGTGGTCACGTGACAATATATTTGTTTTGTGGCTGTCACGGCGCCGGCTGATTCTTGCTGGTTGGTTTACTGCTCGACACTAAAGGTAGAGGCGACATGTTCCTCCGAAACGTCGGTTGATTATTATCGGACTATGGGGCGTTATATCGCGAACAAATTAGTTCGCAAATTTAAGGCATGATATGCCCGTCCACTTGTCGACGTGTATACCTCGGTACGATCTAGGAAGGTTCACTGATTGTCGTCACTTTCGTCAGGGTTTAAATGTGGGGCAATATTGGCCACTGCCACTTCTTTGCATATGCAAGTCGAACAGTAATGTTAGTAAAAAGGTAAATTTGTTCGTTCGCTTCTATGAGCGCCATGCATTCATAACATTGGCACCAGACGGAGGTGTATGGTCAACCTAAAGTAACGTGTCCCCGTTACCTATTGCGTAGGTGGCTGGGTGGGCCCCAAAGCCGAAGTGGGCGATGTGGAAAAAGGTAAAAGGCAAAGCTATCCCTGGAACAGGCCGTGGAGGCCCATAGGGCTGTGAGACGTCGAGGCTCCAACATTTTCTAGACCATCGGCTCACAGATGGCAGTGAGGTTGTCAGCCTTAGGCGTCAGCAGCCCTTTACCCCCAGGAAGATTCTTGGTACTCATTTCTGTTAGAGGCTGAATCGACCCTAAGGCCATAGTGCGGCTGGAAGGATTAGGTCAGTTGAAAAATGCAATGGACCTCATCGGGAATCGAACGTGCTTGTAGCCTGGTTGCTAACGTATCGTTAGTATATATATTTCTTCTCAGTTTCCTTCTGTTTCTGCATTGATCGAAGTATCCCCCTCAGTAGTTCGCTTTCAGCTGCAGCGTCTGTTCCTTGCTCAAAGTGAGAGACCAAGTTTCACACTCAGCCGACTGTGAGCGATGATTGTTTTTACGCGTGCTGGTTCTCAGAAAGGACATGCCCACGGAAAGTCCTCTTACGTAAACAGAAGAAACAACAGGCCTGGAGGTCATGTGCATTTATTGCGTTCCTTCCTGAATAACAATGGATTCTGCACGATTATACCGAGTGGCCGAGAGGTCATGTCGACTTTCTGTTCCCGTAGAACGTGCACAGGGTGTCGATTGCATGACCTTGAGCCGTATACTGCCCGAATCAGATTTGTTTAATCACCTGTCATAGTCACGTGTTTGGGGTGACGATAGGCGGGGTTTGGATTGGCAATCGGATGTATCAGTCGCTTGCAGAACGTAACTACAGATAATTATGGCAGTCTCACTGGCTTACACACTCCGAAGATAGCTATAACTAAAGCACACATACAGTCTCAGTTTGCTATATCTTCATCATTCGTTGCCTGGTCACGGATACTAACAATGTCCTTTGCTTCCGTGCTCACGTTCGTACCCGCTGGCGACTGTCTCACAACTAGTCTTCGCTCAAGCGAAAGTACGTGTCATCTGTATTTACGTACAGCTCTGCATGTAACTGTAGTGTATGTGTGCACAATGTACTCGTACACAGGGGCTGTTATATGCCCATGTTGCAGCGGCTGCCTAGTCACTTGAATACTCTTCACTTCAGAGTCAAGGTCACATTGCTACTGACGGTCAGCTAGTCAGTAAGTCTTGCTGTCTAGCCCCGTCTGGGGCTCATGACCAGATATTTATTACTGTTTGACTGTTACAGTCTTTTTTTGTGGGGCACCCTATCTGAAGAGAGGACGGGCCTCTCTTTTGTAGTATATGCTACTGGTCCTTGCCAGCGCAGTCTTTCTCGGGTCCGAGTCCCTTGGCCCTCGCGACCATATTTTACTGTCTCAGATTTGAGACTTAGAGAGAGAGTGAGAAAGAGAGAGACACACACTTACGGATCATCTTCAGAGGGAACATCAATACTTATTCGGAAACCACCATCACAATAGGTGTTCTGATTGCTAAATTACACACATACACACATAATGCCCGGAACACACAATGTACACAATATTCAACTTTTCACAGTCACAGCAGCCTTCCTGGTATTAAAACTTTTAAAGTGTTTAAAAAATTTAGCTTACTTGGACTTAAATATATTTAATAGACACGGACAAATAGAAATGGAAATATACAGAAAACCCACAACGACAGACATAGCAATAAATAATAAATCATGCCACCCTAAAGAACAAAAATTGCCAGCATATAGAAATTGGATACACAGACTTCTTACACTGCCCCTTGAGGAAAATTAATACTTTTATTAATATAACACTAAATAATGGCTATAGGAAGGAAGACATCACACATTTATATAACAAACTTAAGCGAAAGGTGGGTAACCCGGATAATAAAGACGAAAAAGAACAAAATGGATCACTTATACTTATACAGGAAATTACATACGAAAAATCACAAAACGATTAAAAAACACTAACATAAAGACAGCCTTCAGAACAGCCAACACAGTAGGTAAACTAATAAATGAAAAACGAGAAATAAACCCCTACGAACAAAGTTACTTTGACAGACTATCCTGTGTATAACATCTCGACACGGACCGCGTAGAAAACACCGCTCTTGCGTTACTGTGCAATTGTTGCGCTCGTGCTGTTGACAGAGCCGTTACCTAGCAGCGGCTGTTGGATAGTCGCTTATTTCGCTTTCGTTGCCTAGCAACGGGTCTATATTCCAGAATATGATCACACCTCCCATAGCTCAATCTTGATACTGTTCCTCCATTTCATTCTCTGTGTGCAAGTTGACGTTTTGCAAGGGGTTTGCCTGCGTATGGCCGACCTCTTACCTGCGGCTTTTAATGCTCTTCTGCTATGTTTCTAATATTGGGGCAGACCGTACTACGCATGCTCAGCTCTCACTCGATCTTAAGTTTCTAGATATTAATCGATTTGTTGTCTGTTGATTGCTGCTGCTTACTTTAGTCTGTTGATGACGAAGCCAGTGCCTCCATGGGCAACAATGTTCTGCAGGTGCGCGCGCAGCTTGATGGCGTCACGGTCTCTGTTCACTTCTAGGGCCGGCAGCACGAACGGGTCCGCGGGTGGCACGTTCATCTTGGGGATCCCTGCAAAGTAACGCCGCCCATTCGTGTTATGTTAGGTCTTGTGGGAGATCCAGGATAATATTAAAGTAGACAAGAAATTAAATCCCATTCACGGAAAATTTAAGAGCAGAGTTACAGAGTTACAGCTGGACAGGGCATGTAGCATGCGCGGGAGAGAACAGAATACACGCAGAACCTGGGCTGGAAAAGCAAGAGGAAAGAAACTATTTGAAGACTCATGCATGGATTGGATAATTATATGAACACTGACGGTAAAGAAATTAAATTTGGAGTTGTGCACTGGATTGAGCTGGCTTAGGATAGGAATCAATGGTGGGTTCAGTTGTGTGCAGCAATGGCGCTTTGGGTCCAATAGAGGAGAGTTTCTAGCGTGGCTGAGCGACTGTCAGTTTTTAAGACTGCTTACCTTTGTTGAGCCTTGGTCTCAGAGCCTCCACGGAGCTGATTACGCAAGCATCGAAGTCAGGATCGCTCTTCTTGCACAGCTTTACATAGCTCGCTGCAACAGAGCAGTGCTTACATAATCATGTCACACTTCTGGGAGAAAATGTGAAAATCGCTTCGTAATGGGACATTGCACGGCGTGACACAGGACGCGATGGGGACGGGGCTTGTGACTAGCACATGAGTAGGTTTCTGATGAAAGTTACCCGGACTGAAATATATTTTTTCATCAATACGTAATTTGGTTAATCCCTTGGTGCCTGATCGGTCGTTAAATTGCTGCTGATTTCGCCAGCACTTTCATATATAGCTTCTGCGTCCTCGGGATCCATGACCAAGATTTCTATTCTCTCCTTGACATGAACGTGTTTCGAAATGGGGCCTCCTCTTCGACGAAGGAAGAGTCGGTGTTTGTATGTAGCGCTGCGTTCGTTGCACCGCAGTTTCCGCGCTGTGGGCTCTGTGTCACTGCACTACATTATTTTTTATTGCTAGTGGGGTGGGACTAAGTCCCTTGTACTGCGGCCACTTCTGGCCTATTGTACCAGCCCCAGATGATAGGTGAGGGTGATTGTGGAGCAATTGGTGGAATGAAGATTGGCAGGGGAAACCGAAGTACTCGGAGAAAACACGCCCCAGCGCCAATCTGTCCACCACAAATCCCACTTGACCAGACCCGGGCCGCCAGCGACTAACCGCTTCAGCTACGGCGCGGCCTTTGCACTACACTAAGTAACGTTTATACAGAGGTTTCTTGCCAATGCAGGCTCGTGCACAAAGTTTGATATACTATAAAGAGTCAGCCCTTACCTCACAGGAAACAGTACATTTCCGCTACAAAGCCCACCCGGTTAATTTTGGGGAAGTAATCGCTGTTTATTGTGAGAATCATACGGGACGCACGGGCAGAGTTTGTTAGTATTAGAGCAGGCGGTGTTTTAGCAGATCAGTGAGACAATAACATAACGGGCTGCGGGCTTCAGGGACCGCGTCCAGGGCGGCTCCAGTGTGCCTCTCCCGGAAGGTTACCATTCATCTGTCTCCATTGCCGGGATTAATCCATGGAGCTGTACCTCCACTGTCCCATACGTGTTCATGAAAATGCATAATTGCTGAGTGTCTATTTTTGTGATCACCCTGTTGCCGCGCACTTCGTTACAGTGAGGGGCGCCGACAGTGAAAGTGGTCAGCACAGAGCAGACCGCGTTGCTGTAACCGTGTCTGGCCCTGCATGCACTTGTGATGGGTAGCTGCAGTGCGGGCTGCAGGCTGATGGGCTGATTCATTCACCGGACTGACTGGTTGCACTGGGTCGTTGGAATAAGAAACTAGACCGACTCATTAATTGATTCGCCTGATTGCACTGACTTATTAATTGGATTTGTTGTGTAACCGACAAAAATAATAATCAAGGCAAAAGGTAAAGCTATCCCTGTAACAGGCCGTGAGGCCCATACGGTTGTGAGACGTCGAGGGGCCCACGTTTTCTAGACAATCGGCTCACAGATGGCGGTGAGGTGCGTAAAGTAATAGGCGTGTCGCGGAGCTTGCAGGTCCTCTGCGGGGTTCAGAGCAGGAAATCGGGGCGCGCGGCGGTCGAGCCGAGAGGGTCCAGTAGATCCCGGGGCTCACGGCTTCCCGCCTTACGCGGGAACACGTGACTTTCGTCGGTTTTGAACCAATAGGAATGCCAAGATTCGATGTAGGGGTGGGGAACTCGGTTCGAATCCAGCCAGCTGGCAATAAGGAACTTGTGTTAGCGTCGGACGCCACTGCGTCGCTGGTACGAGGCATCAGGGGGAGGGCTTTTTGTTTAACTTCACCGGGCAACGGACGTGTTTTGCGACTTCGAAAATTCGTTATAATAAATTAACACCAATAGTGGATAAAGTGACGCGAGGGAGAAATCGAGCACGTCACTACGCCTCGTCGCTTCTGCGCATTAAGTAACTCGCTGTTAAGGGTATAAGCACATTCCCCACTGAAGTGAATCCTTGTGGCTGGGCATGCTTCCCAGTTGGTGCGACCCTGGAGACAGTCACAACTTCACCAGCTGAGTTACATAACCTGACCCATCCACACCTCAGCCAACGCCGCCCTTGACTTGGTCATAACTGTTTGATTGAATTAACTGATCTTCCTCACTGATTGATTGAATATACTGACTGAACTGATCGATCGGACTGACTGATTAACTGATTTGAATGCTTTTACTGACTGGTTATTGAATTAGCCGAACTATTTATTTTGTGTGCCTGTAAAGCGGAGGTTTTCCTGGCTTTCCTCAGTATCTTAATGTGGTTTCGTATGGGAACCTCGCGCCACACCACAGGCTCCTCTTTCTGCACTCATTTTACAGTTCATGAAAGTCCCCTCGCATAATTTCCGTTTGTATGACTTCTGTAGGTGAAACAATGGCTATTTCTTTGAGCAGCATTAATCGGCTGGTCTTTGTAATTGAGACGCAGTGTGTTTTCTAAGCGTCAGGAAAAAAGTTATCCTGCGATCTATTTCCTGCCCTGACCCCTTCAGCATTTTGGGCAAACATTTTGTACGTTCTGCAGAAACGAAACGGAATTTTTATGCCATTTCAATGGTCTGTAATCAACTAATTATCTATTCACACTTGAAGCAGTGAACAATATAAGATCGCAATTTCGATATATCGATATAGTATGTCGATTACGATGTATCAATGTAGTATTGTCATTAAATCCTGATTTTGCCGGAAGTTGGAGACAGGCTATATCATAATATCCGGTCGCGCGATTAAACGGAGGGCCAAATACGTGAACGGCCGTTGGGAAAATTATCAGGCCGTCAGATGAACATATTTGAAGCAGCAAATTTGAAAGAAACATAAAAATGCAACAAGATTTTTAAAGAAGAGAAGGTACATAAATTACCCTTATCCCTAAGTTTTGCCGGCTGGGCTGTAGGAATGTCTAACGGGGTGTAAGCATGTGATACAGTTGCAAGCCTCGAGCAACACGCAAGTGAAATAGCGGATATCGAAAATAAACATAGCAAGTAAGGGGATGTGCACACAGAGTAACAGCCGTGGCGCTGTGGCTTGCCTTTGCTTAATTACCTCGAAAACCGCAAGAAATGCGGGAAAAGTGACCGGACATGAACTGTATGTTTCATGTTTCTCTGCAACTGTTGTTTGGCTCCGACAGATGTTCAGGGAGTTGCGCACGTGAAGCCGGCTATTGTTATCTGATTCTAACCCAAATTGCAAGTGTCAACGGAGTTAGGGGACGTCACAGTGCGCAATATTGCGACAATCCGACAGACTTACGGACACGCCTCGAAGCGTCCAGGCCCGTTTTGGCAAACCTTACCGTTCGGATTCCGTGGGTAGGAACGCAAAGCTTAAGAAGAACACTAAACACTTACGTATCTTCCTGCAGAGGACCCCAGGGAGCACTACGGTCACAACAATGAGCACTGCAGCTGCGAGTCTGACCGCCATGTTGCGCAGGAAGTGGACAATTGGTAGGCATGGCGCGGTTCCCGGGCTTATATAGCAGCTGACCTCGGCACTGCAGCTCCCTACACTCTCACCGCCCATGTTTGCTCTGTATTTGCTCTGCCCGCACTCTCTCTTTTCCCTTGTTCATCCATTCACTCATTCATCAGTTCATTCATGACCGGACTTTGAGGTTCCGATTTCAAACCTTGGTTCGGAGATGAGGTATCGTGACTGGTGTTCTTTCGTGGTTTTCTCAGACCCTCAAGACAAATTCCGAGAAGTGGTTAGGCGCGGCTGTCCGAGCAGTTTAGCGCAGTGTTAACTATCTACACATATTCGCGAGGTGCTTGGTTCGAATCTCGTCCTTGACGCCGGATATTTGGACAGAAGTTTTTCATAGTCTTCCTCCGTTCCTCCATAAAATTGCAAGATAGATGCTACAAGCCGGGAGGTCGCTGGTTCTATTCCCGATGAGGTCAGTGGATTTTTAAGTTGACCTAATCCATCCAACCGCACTATGGTCCTGGGGTAGACTCAGTCTCTAACAGAAAAGAGTACCAGGAATCTTCCTGGGGCTAAAGGGTGGTCGGCGCGCAAGGCTGACAGCCTTACCGCCATCTGTGAGCCGATTTTCTAGAAAATGTGGGAGCCTCGACGTCTCACAACCCTATGGGTCTCCACGGCCTGTTACAGGGATAGTGCACTCTCACAGAGATCTCTGTGGTTTGTACTGCGACAGCACACAAATGCAACTCCCGCGCCAGGCAAAACTTCTCTTTAGTACCCAGGCATTGGGATCCTTGTAAGTGACTACTTATGGTTTCAGTGGCCCACTCAACTCGATGTGGGTTCCTTGTCACCACGGCATAGCACTTCCTCAGCGCTGCCTCCAGGGACTGCATTGAACAGGCAGGGGGTTGTGCGGTGGGCTGCCTCCTCAGCGTGTCGCCTTGGATGTGGTCGGACACGGGATGGGGGGATGTGTTGAGTGGATTCAAGTGGCGGGCTCTTGTGAAAACGGTAATGAACCTTCGTGTTCTGCAAATAGAGGAGCGAAGCGACTGTGGCATCACCACAAGAATCGCGGACAGTGGGTGCGGACCGCGGTGCTCACCGAGTAACGCCTGTACACGTACGCCCTGTCTAGCCCACTGGCTGCTCAATTCATCATGTGAAAGGTTACGTCTGGCTTCTCTCCGCTTCCTGCTGACCTCTGATGTTTATCCTGCTACAGTGCGCACACAAGTGTTACTTAGGTGGTGTAGCGCTCTCTTAGCTAGGTACCGGTGTTCTGTCTGCAGGGCAACCGGAAGCAATACATTCCTCCGAAACGTCGGTACCCAGAAGACCGCAGTGTGAGTCTACTTGCCTGTACCACTTTCTAGGAACCTTATCGTCTGTTGCATTGGAGTTCGACAGCGGAGGCTGTGAAGAGTACTGTGACACCGTATAGTCCGGTACGAGCTCTCCTAGAAAGTAGAAATGAATTTATATGGCCAGTGGGGGACACGCGGTAGCGCAGTTGGTTGAGACATTGCGCTACAAGCCGGGAGGTCGCGAGGTCATTGGATTTTTCAATTGGCCTGATCCTTCCAGCCGCACTATGGCCCTGAGGTCGACAGAAATGAGTACCAGGAATCTTCCTGGTGGATAAAATAAGGTCGGCCGACGCATAAGGCTGACAACCTCACCGCCATCTGTGAGCCTCGACGTCTTAACAATCCTGTGGGCCTCCTCGGCCTGTTACAGGGATAGCTTTACTTTACTTAATGTCCAGTAATCGCTAGGGGCAGCAATAGGACACGCGAACCGTTAACGTAGGGGGTCGAGATGTGTACTGTAAGAATAGCAAGTTACTCGGGGTGCCGGAGGGCGTAACTGCGATGGCTTGTAGTGTAAGTAGGTGACAAGGTGAGCTTATTCAGCCTGGAAGTGGCGCACACCAGACAAAAGCAACCAACGAACAGAACATGTATTCAAAGCGATGTGTTCCGTTCCTAGCGCAAGAAATGCCCAACATCTGAACTGACGTACTTGGGCCGCAGTTCAGTCACTTGCAACATAATGTTCATACGTAGAGCTCAGTTTGCGTGGGAAGAGCAGTGAAGTCTTGTGGTCGATCAACGGTGTCAAGATAGATGTTTCGAAAATTTTCTGTGTCCATCATCAGGGTGACGATGAAGAAGACACGCTGGATACTGTCCCCATCTCGACACGGCTGAGCAGCTGAGGAGGCTTCATCTCGTACAGTCGCTATGAAAGCTTCAAGTAATATATTGTAGCGTGTAGAGCCGTTTATAGGCAACGGCTCGGTAAACACATTCCCGCCACAACGAATACGCATGCAACAATAGAAGTACTGTTGGAAAGGTGTCTTTTACGGTGGTCCGTGTCGAGAGGGTTATAAGGTGTATAACTGGAGCAAGAATTAGCCAGTTGGAAGGGAGCTGCCATTCAGAGAGGGAAGCAGAGGAATAGCCGTTGTTAGAAGCCGTTATCAGGCAACTAGTAGTGAAGACACTGCGGGCTGGAAAAGTCTTAGCATGTGCTGTAGTGATTTGTAAAGTGTGGAAATTAGCGATGCCGCTGTAATTAAGTGTAGTTACGAGTTGTGTTAACGTGGTCAGTAAATCCAAATCCCCGCCGAGAGTCACTGATACACGTGACGATACACAGAGTGGGAAATATATTCCTCAGTAACCGCGAATAGACTACACGCAAGGGTTAGCAGAACGTGGGTCGCGACCTGCTGTCCAGCTGTCAGTGACTGTTTGAAACAGAACTTTGACAAGTAATTAAGATTTAATACAATTTATCTGCAGCCTGCGAAATATTTCGCAAAATTTTGTGACTGCTTACTGTAGGCGTAGAGTGGCTGTGAAGCTATTGAGGTTCCTGCTGTCGCCTTACAGCCTTGTAGGGACCTGCAACAGTGTTCAGAACTGTACTTCTCACTTACCGGCAGAGATGTATTGTTTTAGGGTATCCGGGTTTCACAGAGTTTCGAGAACCTCTGACAACGAGGAAGGACGGACGGACGGACGGACGGACGGACGGCCTTGCTAGGCAGTCGACTGACACAGCCAGAGAGTGTGACGGTTGCGCAACTGTGCAGCGTCACTGTGAGCACCTGCGCCGGACAGTGGCAAGCCTCAGCTCTAAGACGGAGCGGGCTGGCCAGGTTCGAACCTCCGGGCGTGCAATCCCAGCTGTCTTTCGCAGATTCCGTGATAGTGTCGGACCGCTTCCTTTCAGATGCTTTCCAACTCATTTCTGTCTGTCATCCATCCAGTGAACGCTTGTAGTCTCAGAAACTTGGACGCACTGGCCGGGGTGTAAACAGTTGCATAACGAGGCGTTTCATAGCTTTCACTCCTCGCCAGATGTTGCTGGGATGAAGTTAAGGAGAGTGAGATGGGCAGCCTGTATAGAAGAAAAATGCGTACAACGTTTTGGTAAGGAAGTCTGAAGGGAAAGATCGCAGGGAATACCTGACCTTAGATGGTAGGATAATATTAAAGTAAGTGGTAAAGTCGTAGGATGGGAGCCAGTGGCGGACTCTTGTGGACACGCCGCATGAACTGCTGGGAATGCCTCGAGTAAGTGGACAGCTGTGATTACTTTCTGAAGACGGACTCCGCCTCCGTTTAGTTACGGAGCCCACTCACACTGCGACTCAGCGGAGCTTGCGGAACCTGCGGCTTTGTAGCTTTCCTAATGTGACATGTAAACCCATTGCCAGATCGGGGGAATCAGTGAAATGTGGTCATGAGCCCGTCGTGGCTCGGACTTGAGAATGACTGCCCTGGCGGGGACGGCAACTGTTGCAAACAACAGACCCGTCCTCTCGTCAGAGAGAGCGCCCCACATCGATAAACTGCGCAGCTGTCTGACAGTAACAAAAATCTAGTCTTGGGCCTGAGATGGGAACTTGAGGCCAAGACAGACCGTCGGTCGTAATGTAATTTTGACTTCGATTTTGGGTTCTGGGGGAGTCAGTTGAGAGTTGCAGTTGTGAGAAGTGAGAAGCCGGAGCAGGGTTCGGGAACCCACAGGAAATGGAACGCCTGCCATTGTGAGTCGCTAACAAACAATGGTTGTTATATTATCGCCTGTGCACACAGCTGTTGCTGGCTAATGGCTCTGCTTGTCGCGGTATTACTCATGGTTTATGGCGTGTTTGCTCGTTTGTGCATCCTGTTCGGACTCTGCAGTTTAAAACATTAGAAGGACAATATGAACGAAAGTAGGGAAGGCACTGCCCGAGTTTCGAAGTGTAGACCTTTTGCTACGATGGCAAGGAAGAATGTAAGACTCTGCTCCCACACTGGCTTCGTCGTGTCTGTCCGCGTGTAACGAATGGGGAACCAGCTGAACTCATTTTCCCACAGTTTCACGAGAACTTCTTACCGAAATTTGTCGAAACATCCCAGTTTACGTTTAAATGTACACGTAACCACAGCAAGGGACACTTCTGCGCACAACTCGTGCGCAACTCGCTACTTTGTTTATCGAAGCTAAACATGTCTCAAACAAAAGTTGTAGACAAAAATTAAAAAGACAAATTTATGCCCCAATTAGTCTTTCAGTGATTCATACTGTTTCAGAGTTAAACCTGAGCGACCGAATGAACCGGAACTGTTATGCTTGAGGTGCGCACTCGGACAAAGAGAGGCGGCAGGCGACAGTCCGCTTGACGCTATTTCAAACACATGTTTGCAGACTTTATAACTTTCCAGTAGATTGACGCTGATGAGTCATCTTTTCATTTTGTCTCTAAATCGGCCGAGTTTTAAATTACACTTCCTGATACACGAAAGTTCAGGGGAAAGTTTTGTGACATTCCAAGTGACGGTCCCACCTCTCCGAACCAATCGCTACGACCGCGGCTACTGTAAAGCCTGGAATTCGAACCCCAGAAGGGTCGCGTGTAAAGGTTGAACTCTCTTTCGTTATGGCCGTAACTTCCCTGTCTGGCTTCATAGAAAAAAAAAAGGTTCTTTTTCAGAAGCTAATAGC